TTCTTACTGAAATGTCTAGGGACAAAATAGTATGATATTTGGGATTTGCTTCTAAACCATACAGTGTGGAAGGATGTGGCTAGGAATATAGAAAATAAGATTGGACATGAATTGGTGTGTGACGAGTCCACACTGATTCATTACTTTTGTATTTGCAAGTTTTTAAAATTTTATTTTATTTTGTTGCTTATTTTTTATTTCTTTGTTTTTCTTTTTTCTTTTTCTTTTTTTTTTTTTTTCCGAGACAGCGCCTCAAGCTGTCCCCCTGGGTAGAGTGCCGTGGCATCACAGCTCACAGCAACCTTCAACTCCTGGGCTCAAGCGAGTCTCCTACCTCAGCTTCCCAAGTAGCTGGGACCATAGGCACCCGCCACAACGCCCGGCTATTTTTTGGTTGCAGCTGTCACTATTGTTTGGCGGGCCCGGGCTGGATTCGAACCTGCCACCTTAGGTGTATGTGGTTGACACCTTAGCCACTAGAGCCAATGGAGCCGAGCTGTTTTTCTTTTTTCTTGACACAGAGTCCCACCCTATCCCCCTGAACAGAGTGCAGTGGCATCGTAGCTCACTGCGACCTCAGACTCGGGCTGTGGGCATCCTGCTCCCTCAGCCTCTGGAAGCTGCTGGGATTACAGGCACTGGCCACGCGCCTGGCTAGGTTATTCCATTTTTGGAAGTCTCAGAAGTCTGGAACTCCTGAGCTCAAGCAATTCTCCCACCTCAGCCTCCCACAGTGCTGAGATTATAGGCGTGAGCCACCGCGCCCGGCTGTTTGTAAGTTTTTAATGGAAGTCTAATAAAAATGTTAGGAATGAACTTGGAAAAGTAGGCTAGTGACTAAATGTAAAGGACTTGGGGTGTTTATACCTAGTATGGTGCTCTCCAACCTTTAGTGAACGCACCCCTACCTGTGACAATATTTTTGCATGCATGTACCAGGCATATACTTATTTGTTTATTCATTCATTTATTTATTTAAAATTATGTACATGTACCACTGTACTATTATGCCATTATAAAACATACACAACATAAAAAAAGCTAGGTAAAAATACGCACAAATACCATTTGAATATATTTTTTCTACACTCTAGTGGACCTGGACCCCAGTTAGGAGCCCCATGCGTAGTGAATGCAAGGGCCCCTTGAGGTTTTCTGAGTAGCAAAGAATTTATAAGAAACAGAAACTTACTGGCGCAGCCACAGGTAATGGGAGATGGATTAGAAAGGCCCAGAGCTATTTCCCTGAGGCTTCTCAAAGAACTCAAATGGACCGGGAAGTTGTTCTAACTAGATATGTGATTTGAACAAGGATCATCACTTCCTTGTACACTTTTATATATATATGAAATACACATAATGTGCTCTACATACAGAGTCAGGATACAATATGCATATAAAACAAACATCCCCCACATATTATCTTGGGCAATATATTTAACATCATGATTATGATGATAAGAATATCTAACATCAATTCAGTACTTAGTCTCTGCCAGGTATCACGGTAAACAGTTTACACACATCATTTTACTCAAAATTCATGACACCTCATGGAAATAGATGTTATTGATTTCCACTAGTACAAGGAAATTGAAACTTTGAAAAAAGCTTTTCCAAGATGAAAGGGCTAGAAAATGGCAGAGTCAAAACTTAAATCAAGATGTTTCGGACTCCAAACCTTATATCTTTACTCAACCACATTGCCTCTGGAGGAAATTAAGAACAGTGTCCAAACCAGCAGACTGCTGTGATGACTAAATGAGATAATCTAGATGATATGTTAAGCACAGTGACAGGGCACACATCCTATTAATAGGTCAGGAATTTTGTACACAGAATATTTACTAAGATTTTCCACAGTAAAGACCACTAATATCTCTCAATATCAAAACACCAATATTTATAATTGTAATGAAATAATGTTTTATTATTTAATTAAACATTATTTATAATAACACACACCTAAACCCCTTTCCTTTGCTGCCGTCTGGTAACACGTGGGTTTTGTTGTTTAGTCTCGGTGGAATGGGTGACTAGAGAGAGATTGCAGTTGTGGACTGTGTTACACCTCCTGCCCAGTAGGTTACAAAAATGGCAATATTTGCCCCTGGTGTTCTCCTGTCATATTCTAAGGAGCCCTCAACATAAGTAGGAATATGTGTAGCATGAGCACTGAATGACCCAGGAAATACATCTGTACACAATGACTTTATTTTCCGATTACAGGATATTTGGGGAGAGATGACGCTCCTGAAAACTTCTTTGCATTTCGTCAGTTTCATTGGAACTGATGAAACTTACCACTTCTGTTTTCTTTTTCAGATTTTGTATTTTTAATCAGCAAATCCAGATAAGTATATACTTAGACACTTTACTATTTATCTAATCATGGCTTCCATTATGAGTAACCATCTCTTCTTGATTTCCTGTAACATCCCAGATTTTAGATTTTGTCCTCATATGAGGCTGTAATTCCAAATTTGCTTGGCAGCCTTGGCCCTTGCAGAGGGGGTGAAACATGAAGCCCTGTGCTGAGAGCTGTGATCTGAGATGTGACTCATAGGTGCTGGCGTGTGGTCTGGTCTACATTACTGGGTCTGCACTTAATTTTGATGATCTAATATTAAATGTTCCTTTTTGTAAGTTTGCAGATATTTTGCTAAGTGTCTGTCATTCTAAAGGGAATGTTAAGTTTCATGGTTGAGTTGGCATGGAGGAAAAATAATGTCTTTGGTTCATAGATTTTTGACATTTAGTCAAAGCAGATCTCTCTATAAAATAATTAATTTGGGTGTTATTTATTCCATACTTTTAATGTAACGAGATAATCTATAACTCTAGGTATGACCTAGGAACCTGCCCATCGTTCCCTCTAGTTTTCTATTTGGGAGGTATTTAAATTCTAGAAACATTGTGAAGAGTGTTTGTGTTGACACAGAATCCATCCCCCCACCCATTTATAGACCAATAGCATAAACCCAAATTAAACATGTGGGATTCTTGGAAGAAAGCATCCAATAACCAAACTCTATGAGCAAAAAATTAATTTATTATAGATATATTCTCTAGTAATTCATAATAACTGCTTGGATTTTAAATGTCTTTTAAACCTATTTCCAATGCTAAAAAATCATAATTTTAAAACATAAGTACTGTTTTTTATATACACTGTGATTTCTTTTGATTTTTTTTTTAACTTCTAAATATGAATGATCTGGTCTCCAAGTGTCTGCTTGGAAAGAAAGGGGAAAGGATTCGTTGTTTTGCTCTAACATGGTATAATTTAAAATTTTACATCATATACCTGGAGTCTTGACTATATGAAAAATAGCCAAATGTCATCACTTTCTTGGATATTTCTTTTATGTCTAAATATGCGTAATATAAACAGAATACATTTGATTAGTACGCTTCAACGTTTCATCAGTGTGACTTTTATCTTCTATTTTATATAAAATAACAAAATATACAGAGAGAAGAAAGGAGACATCTGTTCATCATACACGGAAAGTAAAGAAAAGTTCATGTATGGCTTTGCAAAGGTAGATTATGACGTGACTTTCATATTTATTTATTTAAAAGCCTCTTGAGAGAACGTGTTAGTGTGCTTACGAGAGTGGCCATGGTGGTTGAATGTCGCGCAGAGAGTCCAACATTAGGGTCCCCAGTCTTTCCGGTGGCTGCCTCGGCAGCTTTTAGGAGACAAATGTAGTTTATGACCACTTCATCGATCTTCCCTACAATTTCCTGCTGCTGTGTCTCTGAGTTTACGACTTTAACTAATCGCATGCAAGCTTCTGTTAAGCAACAGAGCACTTGAAAGCTGGAAGTCATAGCTAGGAGCATCTCCTCTGGGCTTTTCTCGGCCATCGCCATTTTCCTACAGGCACTTCCCAACTGTCTGGACTCGATGGATAATAGTTGCTTGTACTGGGAAAGGGTAAGGTCGTACGCCTCGGGGCGTGACTCCTCTCTCTTCCCCTTGGTCGCCCTGACGAGGCAGAGCAGCTCATTGGCATCATTCTGGGCTGCGAGGAACCCATCAGGCATTGCATATGTGCTCTCTTTTAGGGCATTTATTCTTGCAATCCGGGCATCAAAAGCCAGGTTGCTGAAGTCCAAGTCATCTGGGCCACTCAGGTCTTCTGCCCAGACCTTCAGCACTGGACCCCTGGACAGCTCCCCTCCTTGATTCTGAATCTCAACAGCCGGGGAGAGGCTGGCTGGTTCTGGTATGGCCTGAGTCATCTGGGGTCGGTAGAGGCAAGAGACCTGGTGGGTGGCCTCTCCCTCCTCTTTCTCTTCATCATCTTCATCCTGCCCTCGGTTGAGGAAGCAGTAGCTGAAGGGCCCCCGGCATCTCCAATTGCTGCCCTCCAGCTTCCGCAAGGGTAATGTCCTATACAGCTTGGAGTCTTTATGAGCCACTGGGGATCTTTTGTGAAACTTCCCCTCAGAGCTCAAGTGCATCGAGCTTTGGGAAAAACTTTTGGTGAGCTTCTTCCCCAGGGGGAGTTCTGCTTGCCTTTCCGAACTGGCCTCCTGTGCTTCTGTGATGCCTGGACACTTTAAGCTGACTGCACCCCTGGTTCTCTCTCGGAAGGTCTCCAAACCTACAGATCCTAAGAGGATACTGCTGCTATGTTTCAGAGCTCTCTGGCTAGGGGGTGTCCTGAGGCTCCCCCCTCTCAGATCTGCTGGCTGCCAGCTCACAGCCTCTCCATATGCTTGGTTTGCTTGAGAGAAATCATTAGGGTCTTGATTTGGAATTGGCACCTTTGATTCCGAGTGAATGTTTGATGGTAGCAGGATGGGATCAGCTTCAGGATGTTGAGACCAAGCTGAAGGCATGCCTCCTCGTCTCTCCTTCCCAGGCTCTGTCAAAGCTACACTAGGGGTAGTAGAAAAACAGAGAGCATCATTAAGCATCTTCTGGGAGGCATTTTACTACATTTCTACATGACGTCTGTCGTTTCCCAAGATGCATGCTAGAAGGGCTGCCATATGCCAGGGTCACCCTGCTTTTAAAGGCTCCCTCCTGATAGTGTATAACAGATTTCCATTTCAAAGTATATAAGAAATACTGGGGCAGCGCCCGTAACTCAGTGGGTAGGGTGCTGGCCATATACACCGAGGCTTGCAGGTTCAAATTCGGCCTCGTTCAGCTAAAACGACAACTACAACAACAAAAAAAATAGCTGGGCGTTGTGGCAGGTGCCTGCAGTCCCAGCTACTTGGGAGGCTGAGACAAGAGTATCACTTAAGCCCAAGAGTTTGAGGTTGCTGTGAGCTATGATGCTACGGCACTCTATCCAGGGTAACAGCTTGAGACTCTGTCTCATCCAAAAAAAAAAAAAAGAAAAATACTGGAATCCATTATTCCTGGTACTGATTTATTTGGAATTATCTAGAACCCCCAAACATTTTCAAGGAGACAATAACATTTCATGAATTGCCTTGCTTCCAAAATTTACCTGCCAAAGCTTAGACACATTAAAAAACATATCCAGTACTCAGATGATTCAAATATACTGAAGATATTTAAGTTTCATTTGAAGGGAGTTAGGTTAATCCTGGCATCAGTTACCTATTTTTTTAAAAAGTGGCCTAATTTAATTAATGCAAATGAAATATGTTAACCTTTTTAAGAGGACAGCATGAGATTTGCCTGGTACATGATCCGAGGCTGAGACACTAAGCCAGTTGCTAAACTTTTCTTAGAAAAGTTGTCACGTGAAGAATATTCACCTCCCAGAATTTATATGAGGAGCACAAGGTGACTTAAGTGAAAGCTCTTGGTAAACCATGAAGAATTAGACAGTGTGGTTTAACTAGTTGGGAGGCAAAGATGTAGTTGGGTGATGAGTTAGGTAACATTCACAGATGGTTTGAAGCTAGTGGTAGGTTTTGAGAAGGTCGAAAATCTTCAAAGGGCAGTGGTAGAAATTAACTAAGACAAGATGTCACTAACGTCTATTGACCTATCCGGAGAAGACCTTATTGATGATGATGTCTGAAACATGGAAGTATGAGAGTGTCTGCTTTTGCTGGCCAGCCAGCTGGGTGCTAGGAGGGTGGAGGTGGGGAACAGAAGGTGACTGTGTTCTTTCTACCTGGGTCTGCATTTTATATTTATATTTTCAGGGAAAATAAAGCAGCTAATCATAAATAACCCCCCAAATCTTTTTGACATTGGGGTATTCCGGGCATTTCAAAACCTCCCTTTAGTGCAGTCTTACAGAGTAGGAAGGAATCTGTATGATTGCTGAAAGGCCAAGGATCCCTCCAAACCCCTGCAGCCTCCCTGATACCCTGCTCTCATATCTTTCCTCCGTCAGCAATGAAATGGCAGAACTAGAAATCACGTGTCTTGGAGAGGAAATCCAAGTAGTATGTGCTTCTGAGCAATACTACCTGATAAGTACAAGTCACACTGGGTGCTGCTAGAAGTTTGCATTTAGAATTTAGGAAAAAAAAGAATTGCTCCATTAAATTGTAAAAGCAAGCACAGAGCAAAGTTATAAAGAGCAAATGCTATTTTCACCATTGTTCCAGATCTAGAAACTTTAGTATTTTTTAAACATCAGGTGATCAGTAATTGCTACTTTAAAATTCTAACTCGTACTTTTCTTTGAGACTCTACGGTTTGCATGCCATGCAAAGCACTGAATCCATCATTGCTGTACCTGTGGTTTCCTTAATCTTGGGGAGCCGATGGCATCCATCTCTCAAAGTGCCAAACAGGGGTTCGGCATTAATGGCTGAGTGCAGAGCAGGCACTGTCATCCGCGGGCACATCCCTTCCGTCTGTGGGTGCAGGTCCTTAAAGGTGGCTCCATGGCCTGGAAGGCCAGGAGCTCGCTCCTCTGAAGGAACGTAACTCACGCCTTTCCCAGAAGCATCAGGGATTAGGTGCTTCCCCATGGAGGGGCAGAGTGGTGACTCCACGGGAGTGGCGCAGGCACTGCCACTGCTGCCAGTGCCACAGCCTGCATCCACGGAAGAGCCTTGGGAGCTCTGCAGAGAAAAGTGGCCCTCACTTTGCAGTGACGACATGCGCTTGGCCAAGTGGTAGTCACAGAGGCGGGCTACGTTTTCTTCTGCCTCGGGAAGCTTGGAGGGATGGTCGCAGGTGGATGAATCAGCATCCTCTGGGTTACCCAAGTCTTTCGCTGAAGATGCACAGGTCACATCAGTTAAGCAGCGGTCCCCTTGGCCGAGTCCCGAAACATCAGTGGCTTCTCCATCAGGGGCCCCTTCCTTTCCTTCAGCCTCCCTCGGCCCGAGCCCAGAAGCTCGTGGGAAGGTCTTGCCCGTGGCTGCCTCCAATCCACCTTTGTCAGCCCCCCCGCCTTCTGTGGCCACATACCATCTTTGGCTGTCCTTGCGAAAGGCAGTTCTCTCCAGGTTAAAAGTGCTTAGGTGTTGACTGTCCCTCGAGGATACAGTACCAAATTTACCACTGGCCTCCTCCTCCAGCTCCGCGGTTTTGGTCCCCTGCTGTTTGTTTCCCGGCATGTTCCCACTAGGGGGCGCTTTCCCCTCCCCGTCGGCCAGCTTGCTTTTCCTTTTGCTGGTGCAGGAATACGCCACTGACCCCATGTGCAGTTTGCTAAAATAGTCAGTGACCGACTTGGTCTCCATGGTTTCAGGCTCCATCTCCATGTGGTCCGAGTGAAGTATCTGCTTGGAAGGCACAACTTTGGGGGGGAGGTCGGTCGCGGGCCGAGCAGCCAGGGCATGGGAGGACTTCGGAGGCAAGGCCCCAGCCGGGGGTTTGGAAGTGGGGAATTCCGTCTGCTCTTCTGCAAGGGGGTGGTAGCCTTCGTGAGTGGCCAAGAACATGCGAGAGAGGTTTTCTGACTGCTTTTGTGCGGTGGCCAGTTCAGAACTCTCAGTCATTTCAGAAGAGTTAGTTTCATTGCCCGAGTCTGACGAAGACTCAGGACTATAAGCCCGCAAGATGGCCACACCTGCATGCCGTAAAAAACAAGAAGGGGTTAATGCATGCATCAGAGGCACTCGGAGACATGTAAGAAAATGGGGCTCATTATTATGGAAACGGAAACCAAGTTTTTCCCTTTTCAGTAAGGACTCTGAGTTTATTGCAACGTTGTTCCAGAAATTGGGGGGGGGGGGCATATGCCATACTTAAAACAACAATAAAGGAAATCATAACTAAAAAAAAAAAAAACAACAAAACACCTCACGATGGTAGTTTCAGCACATTTATGAAATGGAACATGAGTGAAATGGACAACTGCGCATAACAGGACTCCAAGGGCAAATGGCTTGAAAAGATGAAATGGCATGGGTTATCAGTGGATAAACGTAACAATCGTGAAAGAACCTGAATTGTCACTGGTCTGCTGTTCTTCGGACACAGATAGAGCTTCCAGAGCGTCCAGCGTGGAGACCACGGCACTCTCTAGTCCCTTCTCACACTTGCCTTCGGCGCTGGTGGGCACGGCATCAATGAGGGACACGGGGATCTCATCATTTTGCAGGCTGTTGCCTTGGTCCTTGCCCTCGCGGAAGGAAGCTCCTTGGCTCTGAGAGTCCTCTTCATCCGAGCTGTCTCTGAAGCCAGGTGGAGGTGCGGCGATGGCCATGTTCAGGGAACGCAGGAGGAAGTCATCCTCATTGTCATCACCTTCCGGAGGGGGCAGAGACGTGAGGTCGATGATGTCATCACTTGAGCCAGATAGGCTGAGGATGGCCGGCTGGTTCATCTCCCCCACCACGAGGTCTTCCTCACAGCTCACCTCGTCCTCGTCCTCTACGTCATCGGTGTTCTCCGCGTAGCAGATGTCGTGCAAGAGGGGCTCCTCGATCCCCTCGGTGGCCTGGAAGTTCTTCACATCGCCTATGTTTGCGTAAACAGAATTTGCTACAAACTGGATGCCCTCTGCGTCGGGAGGCAGACCCAGGCCCTTCATGTCGTTGGCACTGCTGATGCAGAGGTTCCTCTGCTTCTCCAGCATTTCTGGACTCTCATCTAACAGGGTTTCGTAGCCGAGAGTGGGGGGACTCATACCATCATCCAACGCAAGGTCTCCAAAAATAAAGGACACTTTGGCTCCTCTGGGAGATTCCTGTGCTTTCTTCAGAGTTTCTGGTCCTGAGAGGGTCAGCAGGGACCGCTGTGCTAGACTTCTGTAGTCTGCCTCACAGGGGGCCTCCCCGGGCTGCACCAGTGGCTGGCCAAGTTCATCTGCGTTATAGGTGCTGCCCATGAACAAGTGCCGGTGCTCTTTTGGACACATGGCGCTATCTGTGATCTCAACCGTCTTCTGTTTGGAATCTATGTATGTTATCTGGGCTTCTTGTTCTCCTTCACCAATAAAGGTGGTCATTTGGGGTATGCAGTTCCAATCTGGGCCAAGCAGATTATGCTTTCCTTTATTTTCGGTTCCTAAAGAGAAAGAATCATACAAAGACATGTTAGTGTGCTGGCTTTTTTTTTTTTTGAGGGGGGGCGTGTCATGTCTGTTTCTTAATTTCGTGGCCTGTAGAACCACTTGTGCAAATATGTTTATTCAACTTTCCAAATATGGCAAAGGTCCATTTAGGCTTCAGGCGTAAGGATTCCTTGGTTAGGAGAATTGACCTTAACAAAATGAAGACTGCATTAAATCTAATTGCTATTTGATGAAATCTAATACTATCTAAGAGTAGGAAACTATCCCATCTGAATTATTAAAAGACCTCATTCACATCTAACAATGTGAGTATAAAGTATGCTTTTTACGTCCCTTAAAGGTGAGATTGCAAGAAGCTGTTTTCCAGAAAATCTATTGCCCTTCTCTTTGTGAAGGGAAGTCTAACATTCCCCACTTGGTAGGGGGAAATATTAGACTTTTTTCTCATCGAGTTAACAGAAGGTCAAGGATCTTTATACTTCTACCATATTTTTTAGGGAATTAAAATAAATATTGTAACGATTGCAAAAATACCCTATCTTTATATCCGAGTGGGTATTAATATATTCGTGTCTAAACCTCAGCCTACATGGCTGAGTACGTGCACGCGTATATAAAACGCATAAGGCGGCGTGCTCACAGGTAATGTACTTCTATTTCTAAGCATGATTAATATTTAGACTAATTTCAATTTTTTGTTTATATCCTAGAAAGTCCCAAAGATTTGTTTGATGTTCCTCATTGATTGAAAATGGCAAAACTCTAATCTATGTTCCCTTAAGTTGCCCCCATCACAAATTTGGACACATGATACTGACATCAGATGTGTAAGGAAAACGTCAGTTTTGTCAAACAGGGTTTTGCTCCCCCCAATGACATAATGGACTCAATGCTAAACACGTTCAATATCGTTTTAAGAAATCCATGTATTTTCATGAACAGTAAGATTTAATTTTGAAGGCAATGAATTATACACTGGTGATGTTTGTATCTTACCTTATAATAAATAGACCTTGTAGGGGGTTTAGTATTGTTTTATTAACAATAATTTAGATTATGACTGGGTATGTTATGTGTGAGCGAGAGAGAGAGAGAGATTGAGTGTGGATTGTTGCAGGGAAGGAGGATGGTTCAGCAACGTTGTGTTGTAGCAGCGGTTTAGAACAGGGGTTGGTAAACATTTTCTCTAAAGGGAGGGCCAGATAGTAAATACTTGACTCATCTTCGCTGTCATTAAATGAATGTGACCAGATGGGTGTATAGGTTAAATAGTGGCCCCCACAAGATGTGTCTGTGCTGTGAATGGGACCTTTGAGAAAAGAGTCCTGCAGATTAATTAAGTTCAGGATGTCAAGATGCTATCATTCTGAATTATCTGCGCAGACCCCAAACTGTTGGTTTAGACCAGGCGCCCTCAAACTATGGCCTGCGGGCCACATGCTAGGACAAATGCCTAGGACATTTATCTGGCCCGCCAGGTGTTTTTGCTGCCGCTGCCTGTCCTGCTTAGCAGCCAACTCATCCTGGGGCCTGCAGTCCGGCCCTCCAACAGTCTGAGGGATAGTGAACTGGCCCCCTGTTTAAAAAGTTTGAGGACCCCAGGTTTAGACCAACTCCTAATTTAGACCAACAAGAAAACTGAGTAAGTTGATAGGCTAAAAACAAGTTAATGGATACTTACTCAGACCCTCCTAAAACACAGAGAGATATAAATATGTGGGGTCATGGATTTCGAAAGTGCTTGAAGGCTAATTTTTCCAGATAGAGAAGCAGAAATGGGGGCTTATTGGTCTTTGAGATCTCGACTAAGATCTGTGCTCAGTTTGAGGTGAGAGGAAAACACAGCTCAATCTTGGTTTCCTTCCAGAAGGGTACACTGATTTAAGCTTCCTAGAATGATTTTGGAGGCCTAGATTGGGATGTAGATTGGGAACTGGAATCTATTTTATGGTCTAGTCTCTCACAGAGTGGGAGGCAAGAGTGGACTAGAGATGGACCAGCCTAATCAGACTTCACTCTTTCCATTTCTTGGGTCTTAGGGGATCTTATTGGGAGTTTCTCAGAAGATAGTACCTTCTGCTATTAGAGGATGCTCAGCCTAGGTCTACCAGGTTCTTTATTGGAGTGGATTATGCCCTCTTCCCCACTTTGGCCCTACCACCCTGCCCTCTCTCTCTGAGAATGGGCTGAGGTATCTGGAACACATACTCTCATCCTCATTCTTGCTTCAGAACTGGGAGAAATTACTGAGGTTGAAGTTCCATTCTTTCCCCACAGTAACAATCCTATTTTTGTAGCTAAGTTTTTTGCCTCTTAAAGTTTTATCAAACATTGCATTGTGGGTCACTATAAATTGGACAGAATGGAGAACCTTATTACTGTAACCATTTTTAGAATGGTAGGTTAGGTTTTCTTCATACTCCTGTATAATCTTTATGGTCTATGGGGAAAAGGATTTATTTCCAAGATAAACTTTAGGATTTGAAAATAAAAAGGTGAAACCTGGGTTTCCAATGAGAAAGGATTGTGTCAAATTGCCGAACTGCTCTTTGGAATTTCAAAGGTCAGTGTTAGGTTGCTGTAAATCTCCTAGCTCCATGAAAACATGTAGTCATAAAAATGTTTACCACCAAACCCAGGGCCCACTTACCACCTCCCTTTTGTCCTTTTCCTTTCTCGATTTATTTTGAAAACACTTGTGCCTCTTGCAGACTTTCTTTGCCTCTGGTTCTTTTCCTGTCTTTTTTTTCCTTTCTGTTTTTCTATCACTTTGATTCTCATGTTTTCCACCACTGTTTTTTTCACTGCCAATTATATTTTTAATTTTTCTTTTTCTTTCTTTTTTTTTTTTGAGATGGAGCCTCAAGCTATCCCCCTGGGTAGAGTGTCATGGCATCATGCTCACAGCAACCTCCAACTCCTGGGCTCAAGCGAGTCTCCTGCCTCAGCCTCCCAAGTAGCTGGGACCACAGGTGCCTGCCACAACGCCTGGCCATTTTTTGGTTGCAGCCGTCATTGTTGTTTGGCAGGCCTGGGCTGGATTCAAACCCACCACCTTAGGTGTATGTGGATGGCGCCTTAGCTACTCTCCTGCCTCTGCCTCCCAAGTTGCTGGGACCACAGGCGCTGAGCCATATTTTTAATTTTTCAATTTTTAAATATACCCATATAACAAAAGTATTAATTGAAGTACTGAGTATCATTTTAGGTGGGGTATGTTACAGAGTTTGCTACTCTTACCTTGCAAACTAGCTTTTTAATCCCAGTCTTATAAATGAGGAAACCTAAGCTTAGAGAAACTAAAAAAAAACCCCAGACACCTCAAGATGGGGCTGGGTTAAAGCTCAGATGTACCTGACTTGAAAGTCAAAGTTGCCTTCTAACATGCTTGGTTCCTTTGTCCTGGCTGTCTTACCTGCGTGTAAGTCCCTGTGCATGTGTATCTATATATTACCATGTATTTATGGAATAACGATTTTATGTTTTCTGCTTAGTTTAAAAGCGAGAGGATTTTCCTTCCATTTTTTTCCTTCCCCCAATTTTCTCTTAGAAAAAGTGACAATGCTGGGTGTGGTGGCTCATGCCTATAATCCTAGCACTCTGGCAGGCCGAGGCAAGTGGATTGCTTGAGCTCAGGAGTTCGAGACCAGCCTGAGAAAGAGTAAGACCCTGTCTCTAAAAATATCTGGGTGTGTTGTGGTAGATGCCTGTCGTCCTAGCTACTCCAGAGGGAGGCTGAGGCAAGAGGATCACTTGAGGCCAAGAGTTTGAGGTTGCTGTGAGCTACGATGCCATGGCACTCTACTGAGGGCAACAAAGTGAGACTCGGTCTTAAAAAAAAAAAAAGACAATAATATCGGTTCTTAAGAGTTCCCCTTTCTTTTAAAAGAAACCCTAATTATGGAGCCTTTGAGTACATTTGTTTCGTGGGTCAGTGGCTCTGCCTGAAATAGTGGTGTCTATCAGTCATATTTACTAAATGTCCACTGTAGATGGAGGAAAATGCTCAAATAACTGGAGGAAAATGTCCTAAAACAAATGAAAACCACACTCCAGAAGTACATTAATGTACATAGTTACCATTCAATAAAAAAAAAAAATGAAAACCACCTGTCAAAGGAATAGTCAATATTCGCAGCCCTCCTTGTCCTTACTTTAGGGGTATTCTGTGCTATTATGTGGCTGAATTATTTGATATCTTTGCATGTCAGTGCTTGTATTATGGATCTAAGATGACTGCCAGGGCAGAATAATTCTCTTCTAGAACCTCCAAATCCAAGTGCTAGGTAGTTCTCATGTTCTCTCGTGGTAAAGTTTCCAGAGTCCCTGGGAGTAAGTCTGACTGTAAGGGAGGAGGCTTCCAGGCACCTGGCCTAGGACATCTTAAGGCAGCGGTTCTCAGCCTTCATAATGCTGTGACCCTTTAATACAGTTCCTCACGTTGTGGGGACCCCCAACCATAAAATTATTCATGAAGTAGCAACAAAAATAATTTTATGGTTGAGGGTTCCCAACCATAAAATTACTCAGGAAGTAGCAACGAAAATAATTTTATGGTTGGGGGTCACCACAACGTGAGGAACTGTATTAAAGGGTTGTGGCATTAGCGAGGTTGAGAACCACTGCCTTAAGGAGACAGCAGCCTAGAGCAGGGTCTCACGGCCTCTACTCGGCATTCCATCATTAGTTCTCTGCATCCTGACCCCTGTAAGAGTGAGGCAAGGAAAACTCAGCCGCAAAGACATTCACAATAACAAAACCACTGTCCGATGGCTGACAAATCAGTCTTTTTGTTTTTCATTAGACTACATGAGAAATAGCTGAAGGCTTTTGGTGTTAAACTTGGTTGTTGGATTTATTTTGTAGGTACAATTTTAACTTTTAAAGGAACATCCTTATTATTATCAGGTAGAGTAGGTGTAAGGGGTCAGGGCTTAAGGAGTTTAGGAACAGAATACCTGTTTCTTGGGGTGCTGTGTTTTTCTTGTTGGCCATGTTAAATATGGACCTTCTGGAGTCCACAAGCAGCCTGTAGTATCCAGCAGTGAGGCAGGCCAGATTCATGGCATCTGAGGACTCCATCAGGAGTGTGATAGGCTACAAAAAAAGAGAATGTTTTGGTTAAGTCCATCCATTCTTTTTTTTTTTTTTTTTTTTTTT